GAATGTATATCATTTTCCAAATCAAGCTCGTGATATAAACGAACAGTCTGTACATTATTAATTTTACTAATGTTTATTGTGCATCCAGTTTTGTGTTTGCTTGTTGAATTGCACATTTAAGCATGTAAACCTACCAAGTAAAAAAAAAAAAAAAATCTTATGGTAGGATCAGGCTATAATTCATACATCAAAATGTATTTTAAAACCTTTCATTTAAGTGTTCACAATGGCATGACATCAGGTTTTACTTTTCTCTTTTGAATGAAGGTTTAGAATTTAAAATCAAGAGGAAGGCTGGGCTGCACATCCAACACATGAAGATTCAAATACCAATTTAACATCTGAACAAACAACATGTCAAATATATTTTTACATTGTATGGTGCATCTATTGTTTGGACCAGTACAATGGTAGCTGTAGGGGATATCTCTCATCATGTATTTTGTCCTGTACTAGGCTTGTTTCTTTTTTTTTTTCTTGAACATTATTCAGGGAACCCTAATGCCTGCAGGCCATCCTTTGAATTCCAAGAGTTAAATAGCAGATCATTATTTGGTTCAAATAATTCCTCATGTGGATGGAGCAAATTGGAAGTTCAACAAAAACTGTGTGACTCCTACAGTGGCCCCCCTCTGCAATCTAGTTTTCTTTCTTGTGTAGGTGAGGATGATGTATGTCCAGGTACTACAGCAGAGTACCTGTGTGAATGAGGATGATGAATGTTTGGTCAATGCTATGCAGATACAATATTAAACTGGTCTATGCCTCATGTCAACGGTACACAGATACAGTATCTAATCTAAATAGGTCTTTACATGTACAGGTTGACATGGGTCTATGAGCGGTGATATACCTCTTCCATTAACTAGTTTTTCCTGTTACCTTTTCCTGTAATTCACCATTCACTCTGACAGTGGAAGAACATGGAACTACATGCAAACATGTACAATTATACATTGATGTCATGCAGTCAATGAAGAATGAAGTTAACTACAGCTATTTAAGATGTTGGCTGTTTCAATGTGTCACATTTTGTGCTCTGTAACTATGTGTGCTTAGTTCATATTTCTGCCATGTATGTTTTGTTCTGACATTCATTGCATCCACACATCCCTTACAGACCTATACCCACGCATGTGTATAAATGTACATAATTTAAGTCACTTGCCATTTGTTTTGTGTCATTTCTTCTCTTTTGTATCAGTATGATACAGTGGAGCTGAGCTCTATTAAAGGTGCTCTGCTTTTTTGCTTGTCTCAATAGCTTCTCTTTCAAGACTTTGTCACATTAGACACAAAAAATCAAGAGATTTGCTCACAAAAGATGCTTATTAAAAGCTTTACCCACCCATATGGGCACTTTTACTTATTAGTCTACACCTGATTAGTGCTGATGGTGTGTACAGACCATGCTTTATTGATATCTCCCTCATCCTCAGTTTATGGGTGTTAGGTCAGGACAATTTACATGTTTTTTTTACTGTTACGTTAGCTTTAATAACCTTATGTAATTCCCGGTATCTCGCCATCCAACGTCACGCTTAACTTGTGAGTTTTACAGGTGATGTTAAACATTTGGAGTAAGCCAGGCTTTCTCCCTGCTTCAAATATTTATGCTAAGCTAGACTAATCTATTGGCCCAGGCTCCATAGTTTGCTCACAGACATGAAATTTGCATCAATCTTCTCAGCTTGCTTCCAGTGAAACAGAATATCGAAATATTCCTTGAGACCACGAGACTTGATAACCACTGGAACAGCAACAGTGGTGTTTTTCTGGTCCTTCTCACATCACTGTTTCACTGTACTTGCTGCTTGTCAGCAGTGGAGGAGAACTGAGTTAGGAGGACATAGGCAGGGAAAGCAGCCTCAGCCTGACCTTCTCTATTTGCATCCAGGAAGCCTCTTGCTAAATATATCTATCTGTGTGTTTGCACCAGAAATAGAGGCAGGGGGGAGTGCGAGAGTAGGTTTGGTACTGTAGCAGACAGACAGTTGTGATGACAGTGTCGACAGTGACAGTTTGCTCGCTCAGCTGATGTGTGGCTGACCCCTTTGGCTGCTCCTGTAGGGGAAACTTAGCCTATTCATGGACTATAATTACCCTGAATTACTCTATGCTGTCAGCTGCAATGTTAGTATTAGTGTTGGCCTAGTTTAGCTACTCTAGGATATACATATAAACACAATGCTTGAAGAGTGATAAAAGACATGCCTGTGGAGTCATGCACAGACTGCTAGAATGCCTCCATCAAGATTCATATAGGCTTAAAATAGGTGTATGTCATTATGCTATCACTGATTTCACTAGCAGGGACCAGCCCTCACTCAGTAAAAATCGAAGTATAATGAAAAGCTGAACCCTAACCCTCAGATAAAGCCTGATAGGTAACAAAAGCATACAGTAGGTCTGAAACAACATATTTAGAAGTAATTTCTATAATTGGTAACACTGCTGTTTTTTTCCTGCACAGCGATTATAAACCCATTAGATGGCAATGTATCAGGCAACAGTGGCCCTTGCAGTCTCACCACACCTCCTGCTGTTTTAGCCATCAGCCTGCGAGCATGTATCTAATAGCAATTTCCTGATTAAAGTACATAATGTCCACATGCTCTTTGTCGCTCTCTCTCTCTCTCATATGCACGCACTTTTATGAATACAAAAATCATCACAAACACACAGTGATGATCTCATTCACACACCCTGTCCCGCAGTTGTACACTTCCAATTGCACGCAGGCTGTATTTGATCCTCGGAGTCTATTTCATGCTTGTTGCTGTGAAGTGTCTGGCTGGCTGCAGACGAAAGCAGAGAGAGTGCCCATTCCAAGTATACTGTGCCTCCTCTTTGCCTGAGCTGTAATTGGACTAAACTGTTCATGCCTGACAAAACCAAAGCCGTCTGTTGTCCTTTAATAATCTGTGCTGACTGAAGCAGAGTGCTACAGATGATTTTAAAATATGGACAATAATGACAGCAAACCCAGACACTGGAAAAGAATTAGCATGACAGTTACTTTCATTTGAGTTTTGTTTTTGAAGTTACCTTTTTAATGTTAAAATTGGTCTGGATGATTCAATTTATTATTCTGTAGGTACAGACACACATGTTGCAAGGAGCAGTGCGGTCAATGAGTGTAACTGAGGGTTCAGGGGACCTGAGGTCACAGCTGCTCAGCTGTCTGTCTGGGCTATTTTAAACAGTAGCACACATCAGCGCTTCTGTGCTACTGGCTTGGCCAAGTCCACACCTAAACACACACACAATGAAATCTTTCATCTTGGCAAAGAACAGATTTAACATCAACTCACACATTCACAGATGAACCATGTTGCATCACACCCAGTTAACAGAGCCCTAAGATGCAGAGGGGCATTTCCTAACAACTGTTTCCTGAGGTCAGCCCGACTGTGCAGTGGAGCACCCACCCCACACCCCAGACTGTCTTACCTTTTCAGCTTGGGGATTAGACAAGTGACAAGTCTGAACTGAGAGGAGGGAGCAAAGGAAGCGGGCAGCAGCACTGGAAATAGCTTTTCAAAGACAGACAATTGGGTGAGGCAGAGGGGAAACGTCAGGGGATCTGTGACTCCTGTTACCACACCTCTCCTAGAGTTTCAACTGTCAAATGTATCCAATTCCTGCTACCTAGAGCTCCCTCTGACCTCACAACAGGATAACACAAGCTGTCACTGCCAGTTTCATCCTACTCTGCTGGCCAATTAGCATTATGCTCAATGAGCTCTTGAGCTGACTGAGTCCAGTCAAACATGTTTTTGACATGACACACCATCATGGAGAGTCTCAACAACACTGACAGAGACCAAATCTGTAACAGGCACATAAAAACCTTTGCTTGATTCCTCCTATTCACTGATTGGCCTCACTTGTCAGTTCTGCTTCCCATCATGCACTGTACTGCTGGTAAACAGTATTAGTAGGTGTTATCCTTCTGGCAACTGCTGGTTGTTGTCATTTTCTGTGTAAATGTTGTGTGTTGCCGTGTGTGTTGTTACTGACTGAAATATAAAACATGCATGCATAAAATACTCATGCATACCAACCACTGTAAAAGTTTACTGTAAGATTGCCCAAGTGAGCTGACAGCTCCCCTCTGGCAAGCCAAGCCGTGGACAAACGGCACCGAATACAAACGCACTTGCCATTCAGCTGTGTGATGCTTTCATATCCCATAACAATCCCAATTTATTCTGCCTGTAATAGAAAAAAAATAGAGGAAGATGTGAGCCACCGGACCACAAGCCAGTTGACTGGAGAGCTGGTATGGAACCCTTTCTAACCACTCACTGAGGAGACCAGAAGGTAAAGAGGTTTTCTGGACTTGGCTGACCACAACCCGTGGTTAAAATCACATAAGGGAAGTTGGGCAGCAGGTCATGTATAGGGCTGTCCTCACACATGTCCCTGACCAAGAGAAGAGAAAGAAGAAAGAAAACAGCTTGGACAGAACAAGATAAAAAAAAATGCATATATATCCTTTAGACATTCTGCTATTTCTAAAACATCAGCACAACCTTTCACCTGCAAATAACCCAACAAACTCATTGGTCTGTGCTATGTCATCTGCACTCATAATATACAAAATAAATAAGTGGCTGTCTGCTCTGTCTGCAGTCACACTGTGCATAGAAAATAATTACATTTTTACAATTTTATATGCTTTGGCTTTTAAATTTTTTAAATCTAATTCTTTTAGTTCTAATTCAATAAAACATGGATTGCAAGTTTATTGAATTACAATCACAAGCTATCAATTTGATCAGAAGGGCCTAAACTTTAGTCACCATTAAAGTCTGGCTGTTAGGAAAACAGATTAACCAAGTCGCCACATGACAATAGCCAGCCGGAGAGAAATGTGGCCCTGCTAGCATGAGTCCCATTCCAATTAGGTCGGTGGAGTCCGCATTGTT